ATGCAGAAAAAACATGTGACAAAATTAAACATCAATGATAAAAACAGCACTCCAGAAATAGAAGGAATCTCCCTTACCCTGAAAAACAACGTTTGTGAATGACCTACAGAAAACATAGTTAATGGTGAAAACACTAAACACACTCCCCATAAAAGCAGGAACAAGGCCAAGAAACCTACTCTATTGTCTAACACTGTGCTGAAGATCCCAGCACGCTCAGTAAGGCTAGACAAAGAAACAGAGGCATGCAAATGGAAAAGTAAAATATCTAGTTGTCTTTACTCACAAATGACATGACTGTATACATGCAACATTAAATGGAATCTACAAAACATGCTACTAGAAATAAGTGACTTGAGCAAGATCACAAGAATCAAGTCAATGTACACAAATAGGAAAATTTTGGCATATCCATGTGTACAATGAAATACCACTCGGCAGTAAAAAGGATGAATCACTGGAAAACTCAGCAACAGGGCAGGATCTCAGAAAACATTATTCTGAACAAAAGAAGCTGGACACAAAGGAAGCACATATTGTATAACTCCATTTTTATAACGTTCTAGAACACAAGTCATCTACAATGACAGCATACAGGTGGTTTCTTTGGGCTGAAGGGTAGGGATTGATTGCAAAAGGTCTCAAAGGAATTTTTTAGGGTGATAAAATATTAACTGTCTTTTCAGCAGTGGTTACATCAGTGTATACATTTGTGAAAACTCATTGAGCTCTGCACTTAAGGTGAATATGTTTTATTGTTTGTAAACTGTGCCTCAAGACAGCTGATTTTAACTATTAAATGCAGATATTGCCTCTTAAGCAAAAACCAACTTAATAATTTGAGCTTCCAATAACTAATTTGCTCAAAGCATTTCGAGAAAGATGTTGATTCACATCCTATCTTTGGCACTTTTTGTACACTGTGCTCAGATAAGCAGGGACTGTCCTGCAGCCTGGAGACAGTGGCAAGAACACCAGGCAGGGAGGGTTGGAGGACTGGGAAAGCAGATAGGGAACCTATGCAGACCTTGCTCATTCATTACTCACTCCTCATTGCCCACATGCCAGCCGGTGAGTTATGCCAGCTTCCGTCTTTAGTGAGGGAGGGAGGTACCCTCAGCAGGATCCTGTAAAGCCCCTCTTCCTAGACAGGAGGCTAATAAAGCCTAGAATTGAAACAGAGCCTTTCCCTCTCCTTCTCTTCTAGCAGAATAAGTCCAGTTGCATTTAAATATTATGCCCAGTTGTATTCTTCCAGTATGTTCTTTTCCTTCTAAGAAATGTTATATTTCAATTTATTCATAAAGCAAATACAATGCCCCTTGAACAACATTGGGGTCAGCAAATACAGCTGACCCCTCACACAGTCAAAAATTCATAACTTTTGGTTCCCCAAAACTTAGCTACTAAAAGCCTACTGTTGAGTGGAAGCCTTACCAATAATATAAACAGTTGATTAACAATATTTTGTATGTTGTATGTATTTTATACTGTATTTGTTTTTTTCACATGCGTGCTATGTCAAATATATACTGTATTCCAACAATAAAGTAAATTGAAGAACATGTTATTTAAAAAAATCATAAAGAAGGGAAAATATATTTACTATTCATTAAGTGGAAGTGGATCATCATAAAGGTCTTTCTTCATCCTCATCGTCTTCTCACTGAATAGATTGGGGAAGGGAAGAGGTTGGTCTTGCTGTCTCAGTGGTGGCAGAAGAGGAAGGAAATCTACATATAAGTGGACCCGTGCATGCAGTTCTAACCTGTGTTGTTCAATGTCAGCTGTATATGTTGGGTACCTACCATGTGCCAGAAACTGTGCTTGTAGCTGTGAACAAAATGGCATGTTCCCGGCCTTGATAGAACAACTTGGGGTGGTGGAGAAATTGATGAGTTGAATTCAGAAGACCTGGTTCGAATCCCAACTGTGCCCTGTAATTGGCAAGCAGACCCTGAACGTGTCCTTTGACTTCTCAGAGCATCACTTTTCCCACCTTTCAATTTCATGAATTTTAAATATTCCAGCAATGATTTCTAGCATGATATCCATTGTTAATCTCCACTATCTAACCAGACCCCAGCTTTATGTAAGCTTGTTTTAGGATTTGGGTAGGAGGGTTAGGTGCCCCATAGCCCATGGCATAGTGACATCATCTGTCTATTCAAAAGTCCTTTTCTTAGTCCATGAAATCATCCTTGGTTGCAAATCAGAATCATCCGAGGAGTTTAAAAAATTTCTAGCAACCAGACAGTACCTCACACCAGTGAAATGAGAATCTCTCATTTGGGACCCAGGTGTTGGTAACTCTTAGACCCATTTAATTATCTACTCATTTTCCTTCACATACCCGTCATCACTCATTTCCCCTCCCCTTCAAAGGCAGGAGATCTGTGGGACTGGACACAAGGACTGAAGTTGAGCGTACCATCTTGATACCATGTATTGTTGCTGTGTGTGGTTAACTGACCTATGTGAACAGTGCTGACTGGTAGCCCGTGACACATCCCTGCAGTGAGAGCAAGACAAGGCACGGGGAGAGCTGATCCCAACATGTGTCTGAGCCCATGGGTAACAGCAGATTTCAGCCATTTAGAGAAGAATTTGAGATTCGTCATTGTTGCCTGTTCTTATCAATGTCACTGATTCATTCAGTTCATTCATTCAATAGCTGTATTTTGAGTTTTCTGCTAATGCCAGACATACTGTCCCAGAGACTCTGTAGAATGCAGAAATTAACCAGGTGGAGGGAAGAGCATTCTGGGAGGTGGGAATAGCAGGTGCAAAGGCCTGCCAAAAAGGAGTCTGGGGGAGGTTGCGGTGAGCAGCGATCGTGCCACTGCACTCCAGCCTGGGTGACAGTGAGACTCTGTCTCAAAAAAAAAAAAGAGAGAGAGAGCTTGGTCCCTGGTCCCCTGGTCTCTAAGCAGAACTGCAATGATGTTGTATGGCTGGAGCAGAGTGCCGGGTACGTGCAGGGAGGGAGATTAGCCACAAGGGAAGGGATCAGACTGCCCAGGGCCTGGAGGATAGGCTGTCACCAGAGAGAACTTGGGAGGATGTTGTTCCCAGTGCACTGTCTTTAAAAATGGTGCTTTTTGGCCAGGCGCGGTGGTTCATGCCTGTAATCCCAGCATTTTGGGAGGCAGAGGCAGGCAGATCACCTGAGGTCGGAAGTTCCAGACCAGCCTGACCAACATGGAGAAACCCCGTCTCCACTAAAAATACAAAATTAGTCAGGCGTGGTGGCACATACCTGTAAATGGGAGGCTGAGGCGGAAGAATTGCTTGAACCCAGGAGGCGGAGGTTGCGGTGGGCCGAGATCGCGCCATTGGCCTCCAGCCTGGGTAACAAGAGCGAAACTCCTTCAAAAAAAAAAAAAAAAAAAAAAGGTACCTTGTAGCAAAATAGTGACTGACTGCAGTTTTTAAGAGTACAATAAAAAGACATTAGCAAAAGTGGTGTGAGAGCATGTCATAAGTCCTGTAAAGAAAGTAACCAAAAGTGGCACATTTCTATGTGGTTCCCTCCCAGACAAAACCGCAGGTTCCACCCGCCAGTTCATGCTGCCTGATCACAATGGCTGGTATATACTGAGGTCTAGATTGGTGCCAGATACTTTATGTGATCATCTCACTGTCTCCATGACCAACCTACGAGCTATGAGATATTACTACCCCTTTTTTGGAGAGACACAGGGGTTTTTTAGATAGACACGCCCATGGTCACACATTTATTAAGTGGTGAAACTGGAAATTGAACCCAGGCAGCCTCTCCCCGCAGGCCAGTTCATCACCATGCAGTGCTGATGTTGGGACTTAATGTTGGTTCTGCTTGTGGCCTGTGTTGAAATGTTTTATCTTTGTTCAGGGAAAACAGAAGGCATGATGTGGTTTTAAGGAGGTAGTGACATGGTCAGATTGCATTTCCCCTCAATTTACATGGATAATGGACAGTTGACAAAGACATCGTCACCCCCATGAGATGATTTATATTTGTTGTAAACCAGTCCATGAAGCCAGAAAACAAAGGAAACCATTGAAATTTGTTAAATGATATTTCAAGGGAACTTTAGGGATAATACACAGTCATAATATAATTAGTGTTACAAAGGCTGATTGAGTGAATTCACTTGATGGATTTGCTGTTAGAAAACTGTCCGGCTCCAGGGACTCAAGTATTCAACTAGACTCCTGTGAAGCCTGAATAAAGCTCCCACCTCCTATATTCTCTGGGATGAGAAACAAGAATGTTCTGAGAACGGTATGGAAATTGCGATCTTCTCTATACAGGTAGCCTACCGCCAATCTAGAGAAATTCATGAATTGCCAAGAGACCTGGGCTCATAGAATCATTATCATTGCCAACATCAAAGTCCTGTGTTTTAAGGGTCTGTGATTTCATGGTACTTGGTGCATGGAACCATATGAATGGGAAGGACATGGACCCTCTATGAACTGATACTGATGTATTTCATAGCCAAATCACCACGTGTTGAGTTCCCATTCTATACCAAGTGATATTTCATGTAACCCTCAAGAATGGCCAAGGAAAGTAGATTCTCCATCCTTAGAAGTAAGAAAACGAAGACCAAGGGAGTCTATATAATGGGCCCAGAGTCTCACAGTGGGCCAGGGAGAGAGTACGGGATTTGACCCAAAGTCTTCTTGGCTCCAAAGCAGGTGCCCTGTGCTGCTCCCTGTAAAGATATGTCAATGAGAGCTTATACATGTTGTCCATGATGCATTGACCAGAGTAGAAAAAGGATCCTTTGTCTTGCAGGCAAAGTCTGGCTGTCAGTTGGCTGCTAAAACTCAGAAGTTGGTAAAGAAGCAATATTATGTACAATCTTTGCTCCCTTTCCTTTCTCATTGAAATAAGTAAAGATTCAGCTGCAGGACTGTCTATCCAAAGCACTCCGAAGACTTCGAGGCATTCAGCCACCTCGATGTCAGGCAGGCAGATCCCACTGAGGTTGATTTTTTTCTGTTCACAGCTGCAGAACCAGGAGCTGCTGAGGGCGATGATGAAGAAGGCTGAACTGGAAATCAGTGGCAAAGTCATGGAAACGATGAAGAGACTGGAGGATCCCGTGCAACGACAGCGCGTTCTTGTGGAGCAAGAGAGACAGAAATATCTTCACGAGGAAGAGAAGATCGTCAAGAAATTGCGGTGAGTGCCAGCCACTTGCATGTTCAGCTGTTTCACCTGCAAAGAAAAACTATCCTTGCTGAGAAGGAGGTTCTTCCCTGTTGGTGGTCTTGCCCTCTCATTATTAAGCATCTACTGTGTATAAGTTAGAGTTCTGCTGATGCTGGTACACCTGGACACTTCAGCACTTGTCCATGGAGGCCCAGGAAATTCAGGGGTCCTCAGGTGACTGAGTTTCTTTAAACGTTGCAGCATTGCTGGTCATGGTCATTTACACCTGTAGTCCCAGTTACTTAGGAGGCTGAGGTGGGAGGATTGCTTGAGTCCAGGAGTTTGAGACCAGTCTAGGTAACAAAGTGAGATCCTGTCTCTTAAAAAAATAAAATAGAGAGAGTTGCAGCTTTATACTCTCCTCCAGGGCTCAGCAACACACAAAATTAAAAGGAGTAAATGGCCAAACCCAGCGAAAAATGGGAAGCCTATATTTCATCTCAATAAATTAAAACTAATGGCCAAAATAACACAGCACTAAAATTATCTTCCTATTAATCAACTGTAGTTAAAATTGCAAAAGAAGAATTTAAATGTAAAGTGTATCTGACCCAGAATGAAAGATGCCTCCTTGGCTGTTATGAATGTTATTTAAGGTTCTTATTGAAAGCATCTATCAAATCCTATTATTGAAATGAACAGAGTTTTATTACTCCCCCTTCACCAGGCAGCCACATCTTTTATGGTAATTGTTTGTTTTGTGATGCAATGAAGATTTATCATAGAACTCTCTCACCTTTTAGTATAATGAATAGCAATTTTGAGGGCTTTCTCCAGTGTTGATAATTCTCTTGTTTCTTGGAAAACTTAAATCTCTCAAATTGGGATTATAAGGGAGCGGTTTGTGAACTCTTCTCATGGCCATAATGAGCAGAAGCTTCCATGATGGAAAGCTCTGTGCTCTATCACCTCTCTCCTGTTGGAGCTATGGCTCGTATCGTCCTGGTTGCCAACTCAGAGAGTTTGATTAAAATTAGAGTGTCCCTCTCAGCAGTCTAGAGGGAAAAAACATCAATTTGAGTTATTCTTCTCCTAATAAATTAAATTAGGCTGCTGTTCATCCACATCTCAAAATAGCTTCCAAAATTCAACTTAGTTCACACGTTTATAGACAGAGCTAATCACCCACCATGAGTGGGTAAGGCTGTTATTTGTCTGAAATGTTTTTGTGACAGCCCAATTATCTAAAACTAGGTCTCCAGATTCTTCTTTAAAACTTCTTTAAAATACATATCCTTGCCGGGCACAGTGGCTCACACCTGTAATCCCAGCACTTTGGGAGGCCGAGGTGGGCAGATCACCTGAGGGCAGGAGTTCGAGACTAGCCTGGCCAACATGGCGAAACCCTGT